TCCTTTTCTCTCTGGTGCTGAAGAGCTACATCCATTCTCCTGTTAATTCTCTTGTGAAGGCCACAGGAGAAGACTGGAAGACAGTTAGATCTGGCTGCTCTCATCCGCAAAAATAGAGGAAAATAATTACTTTGAAAACCAGCATAACTAAATTATTTCATGAATGCACACGGACACACAAAAATCACTTCTTTAGTACAGCTAATTAAAAACCCAAAGATCCATATACTACAGCTTCAGAAAGTATCCAATTTATTGCAAATGCGTGTCTCTTCCCTATAGTCACAAAACAGGTACACCACAACCGTAAAGCTGATATGAATCTAAAAAGAAAATGAACTTTGCTCACATTTTGCTGACATGCTGTAAATAGAAGATTAGAAAGAATCCTCTCTCATTAGAAGCTTTAAAAGAAGCTAAAACTCTCTGGAGCTCTCTCTCCTCTTAAGTCAATGGGACACAGAAGTAGTTAGTGGTACCAGAAAACCGCATCATCTTCCTATTTAATCAGCAGAGTACCTGATTTGCGGAAATTTAATTTCTGTAAAAATTAATGAAGATTTTGCTTTCCCAAGTTTCTCCAAAGTGTTGCTCACTTCTTTCTTAGTCATTTGTCAGATTCAAAAGGAAGAGGATGTTTTATCAGTTTGAACCAGATATGAAAAAAGAAAACAATAAACAGCACACAGAGATTGGCATTTAGCCAAACCTACAACATCACAAGGAAGCAGATTCTCTCACAAGCTCTGTAGAAAAAAAAAGATTTTTCCGGTCTATTATTTCATATAATACAAAAGAAAAGATGCTGGGTAGGTATAGTATTGTTGAATATCAGTTACAGACCAGCTGATATGGATTTAACTCAGCCCAGTCAAAAATGCAAAATCAGTTTACAGGCACTAAAAGTCAGTCTTTAAACCAGGCTTAACTTTCCTAGTCATCTGCAACAAGCAACATTTTTATTTCCATAATCTAAGATATAGCTAAGAACATAGGGCATCATGGGGTCCACCACTCGAGTTACCCAATGTTGTCTGTTATCTGTAGCATACTTTAAGGAAAAGAAACTCATCAGAAATAAGCAATCTCATAAAAGGAATACTAAACTAGGAGTCCAAAGATTTCCTATATTATGTATTACAGAAAAAATAATACAGTACATTTTTTTCTTGTATGCTTAAATTGAGACAAATGTAATCTTCACCTTGTGAAGATTGTAGCACCTCATGCTACAAAACATCATTTACCTTATAAAAACATATTTAGCACATACACCTGCAAATCAACAAGTCCCCATGAAGTGTAGAATGGAGCTACAAGCACTAGCAGGCAACAATGCCTATGAATTTATGAATATAGTATTACGTTTTTTCAACATCGGCCTGAAGCAAGTCACGTTGGAAAAATAATAAGACTAATATTGTACATGGGTAACAGCTCCCTGTATCTTATTGTCCCACAATCACAATCAACTCTAAATAAAATGCCCAGGCCGTGTTATTTTTTAATCAATTTAAAAATCCATTTTAAAAATTACATGTATCATAGAGCTTGTTCTTAAATATTCCATTACTCATTATCGCCTTTCTTACATATGGTTAACTTTGCTTTGCAAACTTTGGGGCAGTGGGAGGGAACAAGCTGCTATAGGTTTGTGTAAAAAACTACCACTATGAATATACTTAAGCAACAATCCACCTGCATTGAAAAATTCAAAACTTGTAAGTCTCTAGGACTTGAAGGAAAGAAATGCACTAAGTTACTTGTTTCATGTTTACATAAAGAGAACAGAAGTGCTTGCTGAGGCTAGAGAGACAGAGTGAGCCATACAAAGAGCAGGCTTTTTTGAACACTGTTGCTTAAAAAAGACACAAAAATCCTATAAAAAACCCACAGCAACAACAAAAAAAACCAAAACCAAACAAAACAAAAAAAACCACAAAGAACTAACTTTCCACGGTTTTGGTTTTTTTTCCTTCCAGTTTAACCTGAAAGCCTGAAAATTCTTGTTCTGTTCACCAAGTCTGCAGGGGGCTGTTATAGAAGAGTGGGGGGGGTCCAAAATGAAATTAATGCAGTCTAAATTAGAAAACATTGTGCTTTTATTTACAAGAAGCATTTAGTCAATGGTCTATTTAAACACAGTAACACTTTCAGAGTGCAAAAATTTTGAAAAGACCTTCTGTATTGCTGGTATTTACATCAGATTGTTAATATGATGTGGTTCCAGTTGTTTCATTTCTAGCCTCCTCTGTCATTTGCTTTACCTTCAAATGCAAAGTAAGCACACTGTGTCCTTTCAAGTTCTCTTTATCAGCACAGAAACTGCCAACACTAGAATCAGACTTGAGCAATGCTCTGCTGTACAGAAGAGCTCAGGTGTCCTACATTTGATGGTGCTCCTGTGTTTCCAAGCAGAAAGATGGCCTCCAGAAGTTCCAGCTTCTCAGAAACATTATCTGATTTGATAAGCAGTTACTACTTATGACTATCATCACGCAACTGGACAGCATGTGTCCTAATTTGGTAACTTGTACAACACCTAGTACAACAGCAGTTCATCCCAAGTAAGGTTCTGAGGCAACATCTGGAAAATCAGAATGCTTTTTCCATTGGCTTGTCTTGCTTGTTAACCTCAAAAGCAAAGTTATAACATGATCTAATACAAATTACAGGAAAACAAGTGAGCACATCGGCACTGAAAACAGCAGATGATTCCTTTTGTGAACCTACCCACCTAGCCAGGAAAAGTTAATTCATATGCAGTGTTCCATCAAATAAAGTTGTTTCAATATCACACAGGATGCCTACAGTTATAAACACTCAGTTCCCTCAACTCTATAGCAGACTCTTGGGGAAACACAATTAAAAGAACTGATTAGTATCACAGAAAACTTGTTGCTTCTCTTAAGTCCTGACAGCTTATTCTCTGTCATCTTTGCAAAAAATACTCAAAAACCCCTCAAGTGCTAGGTAAATCACATAGCAATTGCCCTTATAAAAGGAATACATCCACACCTGAAATAATGTTTTAGGCAGTAGTCAACGAGAAGTATTATTAAAAACAGAAGCCTCCTGATTCAAATGCTTTTGAGGATTGCTATCTAATACAATTCTAAGGTTTCTAAGCCAGAAAACAAGCTGTTCTGCCTTTTACATTTTGTTACACAAACAAGCAACATTATCTGTCTTACTTATTACCTTACTGCACCCAATACCAGTGAAAAAATACCTATGTTTAACTGTGGCAGTAAAAATCTACTGCAAAATCACAACCCAATGACATAGAAATGGACCCCAAAGCCAGTGTTAAATGAAACATAACGCCCTACCTTTGCTTTCTGCCTAGCAGTACACTTAGTGCAAAGCGTCTTTACACCATTTCATCTAGTTTTCCTCAATAAACTACACAAAAGCAGAAGCAAAATCTATAAGCCATATATAAGCTTGTCTATATATGTAACAGATTAAGACCAAAATAGCAACTGAAATGACAGCAAAGACATTCTTTACATGACCTCTGTGGAACCTAAATGCTCTTCCCTTGAAATACTGATCTTTGTTTTGAACATACCCATTTAATCTGAAAATGAAATAAGGGAGGGCAAACACTTCACATATATTAATCCATGAACAAAAAATTTAGCAGTACCTGGAAAATTATAAGGATGGACTTGACACATGGTTATAAGTAAACATAGTAATATTTTACACATTTTTTTAAAGAATGTAGTCTTGCTGATCAACTGCAGTACTCCAAGTATCTGCAGAAACACTAATATCCTCTCTGAGTATTCATGGGGGAATAAAAACAGTTCTAAATAAAGTTAAACATTCCAAAGGCAGGAAAGCACGCACAAGATTAGCTCATATTGTACTGATGAAAATCTGGACCAGAAATCAGAACACACCCATACAAAAAACCCCACGTTTTACAAACAACTGCTCTGAAGAGAATGAAATGAAGAAAACTGTACAGAAAACCTGTCTAGCACACATGTAAGCTTTCAGTTACATCCAGTAACAAAGCACATAAAGTTACAGATGCGTATTACTAAGTAGAGATTGCCAAAATCTTTTCGTTCAATTCCTAAGTGTATAGCATGGAGCACAAATAAGGCTCCCTTAATTAACTGAAACCACAGTCAAAAAGGACATGGTCATCCTTTAATTCAGAAATTAAGTATGAGATATTACTAAGTAAAACTGGAATTTCAGAAGCAACTATCACAGTATTTCTTTCTACTGATATGTAAGTTACTAGTTTAACAACCCATCCCTGTTGCTTGAAAAGGTTTATTGTCTTATCTGGAGAGACTTGGTGGATTCGTTACAGTTTGCTTATTACATTCTCCTGCTCTACTATTAAAATTCCAACACAACTAAGTGTGAAGCGATACAAAAAAAAAAAAAAAGGTTCTTATTTGATTACCTCCCCCACATAAAGAAACACTCCCTTCTCCCTCACTGGAAGCTGCTTTAAAACTTAAAATTCCTGAATGGTGTGCATTGAAAGCATTGAAAAATAGATCCTTTAACAGAAGTACACCTGAATTATTTAGACAGTTCTTAGAACATGAAGTAATATTTTACTATTCCACACAGTCTTTAGAGTGTTTAAATCCATTTTAATTGAAAGATACACTGGGAAGTAAAAAAAAACAGGTGCTAGAATGGATTTTAAAGTGTAAATAGCTTTCATGCCAGGTTCAAAGAGCTGTACAATTACACCAGATAGCACAGACACTGAAAAGCAGCTAGCAAGAAAACCAAATTCCAAAGTCATACTCCAACAGAACCAAAGATTTAGCAAACCAGAATAGCAAAAATTAATTAAAAGGGCAGACAACACACAAAGAATGAAACCCAAGTCTTGAACACACCTTCCGCACAAGTAAAAATGCAGGAACATCTCACTTAGCATCAGATTAAGCAGTTTTTCACTGGCAAACAACTGAAATTATTAAAGGGAAGAGATAGCTTGTTTAAACAGTTCTTACCAGCACTACTACAGGACTCTCCGCTTCTGCTTCACAAGGACCTGCATCCTTGCACTTCTGTGGAGACTCTTTAATATACTCTTTTTTAGGATTTCTGTTTGTTCTTGCCTGCATTCTTTGATTGAAAATACAAACTGCAGCAAAACCGTATGCTTTTTGGCATTGAAATAATGGTCATGCCCGTGATCCAATGAAAACAATAGCTTTTTCCCCAGCACAAGCAGCAGAAAGTAGAAACTAACTTCTCAGCTGCAGTTTGCTAAATCTGTCATGGTGGGAATGCATGACAGACAAAGGCCAGCCCCTCAGCATGTTCTTCTCCTCCGGAAAGAAAAAAAAAAAAAAAAGAAAATAGAAAAAAGGTGGATCCATTTTAATGCCTTAAGGTTATGAGTCAAACACAAAAAGAATGTGCATTTCTAAAATAACCATTTGAAACAGTCCAAGTCTTTTACAGTACTTATAAAAATCAATACTTCAGTACTTTACAATATTTTTCTTGTAAAAATTAGCCACTAATTGACAACTAGGCCTCTTCAGAAGCACAAAATCCTAAGTGTTAATTTATTTTTTTAATCACTTACTCAGGTGCTATCAACAACCAGCCACTAACCAAGCACATTCTCCAGAACCAATGTCCCAAACAGATACGTTGCTCTTTTTATGGGCATAAGCTGGGGATTCTCTTTTTAATCTTAGTGCTAAATCCATATTAAAAATTTACATCAACATCGAATTGTCTTCGTAGTAAAAATACTATATCCTCTACAAAGATACAAACTAAAAAATAAAAAACCTCTTTATACCTTCAACTTTTAAGCGCTCAGTTCTTCAAGTAAACAGTCTCCCCCTCAGCCTCTCTCTTTGCTTAAGCCAGTTAGCTCACTTCTGTCTTGCACATTATTAGTGCTTTCAGCTCTTCTCAGAGCCCTCCAGCAACACAGGTATCACCCTCAAAAAACCAAAAAACAAGAAACAAAAAAACACCAAAAAACAATGCTTAGAAGACAATGCAAAAAAACTTCACACATCTTGAGGAACATCACTTGACAGAGCCTCGGCTCTCCAGCCATGCAGACCAGCCAGCCATTACTTGCTGCTTTTGGCTTTCATAGAATTTTCTTTCTGCTGACAGTACAAAACACTGGGGGTGTATCTCTGCTGTGTTCTGATAAGGTTTCAGAAATGCTTGGCCTTGGGATTCAAAGCTACACAGCGCTTGGAGCTAGTCTCTTTTCATACCTGTCTTTAACTACAACATCAACCCAACATAAGAAGGACTCGGAGCTCTTGGAACAAGTCCAGAGGGCCATGAAGATGATCATAAGGCTGGAGCACCTCCCTTATGAAGACAGGCTGAGAGAGTTCAGGTTGTTCAGCCTGGAGAAGAGAAGACTCTGGAGAGATCTTACAGTGACTTTCCAGTACTTGAAGGGGCCTATAGGAAACTGAGAAGGGACTTTTTACAACCCCTTTTTACTACCCCTTGTAGTGATCAGACAAGGGGTAATGGTTATAAACTGGAAGAGGGGAAATTTAGACTAGACATTAGGAGGAAATTCTTCACTATGAGGGTGGTAACTCACTGGAACAGGTTGCCCACAGGAACTTGTGGATGCCCCTTCCCTGGAAGTGTTCAAGGCTAGGCTGGATGGGGCTTTGAGCAACTTGGTCTAGTGAGAGGTGTCCCCGCCCATGCAGGCAGGTTGGAACTAGACGATCCCTGGAGACATTCAAGGTAGACTTGATGGGGCTCTAAGCAATCTGTTCTAGTTTAAGATGTCCCTGCTTATTGTAGGGGGGTTGGACTAGATGACCTTCATAAGTGCCTTCCAACCCAAACCGTTCTACGATTCTAAGTTATGCTTCAAATTCTCTTTTGTAATCACGTCTACTGTCCAACTGCTTACAGACACTGCCCATCATACACACACTTGCAAAATAAGAAGCAGCAACTTTTACTGTGATCAATTCTGTACACTTCTTTAGCGTAGTGCAAAGCAATTTTGTATGCAACCTAGTTGACTTTTTTGGTAGTTTTGAAGGTTTGACTAAGCTAGCTCCCCCATGCACTAGTTTAAGCACGATTGTATGCTAAATTTCCACTGAAAAAAGTGAACTCTGATGAGCAGTTTTCTCACAGTTTTAGAAGGGGTATTTTGATCTTCCCTTTGTTTCTTTTTAACATTGATGAGTTGCAATCTCCAAGTGCGCAAGCCTCTGTGGCTGTATTTACCAAGCAAAAATACATCTGAGAGAAGCACATCCCTATTTTAGATTCCCTGTCCACTAAAGCAACCGGACAGCTGTGGAAAATAAGCCACCACCTTTCATTGAGTTCTCAACTCTACTCCACTTCTTTAGACAGTTAATTATCTCACTTCAATATAACTGACATCCTAAATTTAACTCGACATTAATTTTTATCTATTCTGGCACAGAAGGGAAAGTCACCTTAATCTGCAAAAAAGCAGATCAAATTAGGGAGAAGATCAAATATCATTTTTATTGCTAGTATTTTTAAGAAGACACAATTTCAGGTACAGGTTTTACCCTTCAGACCTAACATAACATAATGCAACATGTAACTATTCCTCTCTTTTCCCCTTCTCTCTGTTCTCCCACCTGTGCGAGATATTGTTACTTCAGCTTACTGCGATTGTGAAATGGAACCTGACCAGGAGTTGGGTCAGACTCCTCTCATCCACAATGCAAGCACATTTCTAATGAGTGGCCTGAAAGAATTAATAAAATTAACTATTAGACAAGACAACAATGATTTAGTATGCTTCTGCCTCTTTCTTGACGAAAAACATGTTCAGTGCAATCACTTTTTAAGCACTCTCTCTAATATATAGGCACAACTCCAGAAAACAACACGCTATTAAGCTTCTTTAAGAGTTAAGAAGGAAACTAGCAATTTAGTCAAATTTACAAAAACAGATCTTCCTGTGTAAATTAAGATAGACAATAGTTCAAGAACATTTAGTTACACTTTTATTTTGCACCAGCCTCTTTTGTTTTCAGAAAACGGAAGTCCAGAGTAGCTTAGACTAAATTATACCATTACTTGAGGATGCAGCTGCCAAACAGGAATTTGTTTCATTGAGAGGAGCTGCAATTATACTTAACTTCTCTTGAATGCATCTCGATTACTTTAATTCAGTATAAATGCGACTTTCTTTTCTCATCATTCTCCCTATTATTCTCAAAACATGATGAAGGGCAAAAAGAATGCAAACAAGCCAACATTTTTATAAGAACAGTTTAAAAATACAGAAGTTATTTTTTTTCCTACTGAATGGCTAATGTTATTTCCAGCTTGCAATGCATTAACACACAAATACCATTAGAAGAGGTTCTTCATTTAACAATAGAAGCATGAAGCAGCATCTCCAGAGCTATATCCTGCATGAAGCAGACCTTGATTGCTAAACTGATGCACACTTTTAACATTAAGAGGTACTGGTTACACAGGCAGCACACAATCAAAAAAATTCAGTTGCTTGAATAAAGAGGTATATTTCAAAACTTTACAAATAACATGATACAAAAAGTGAAAGATTAAAAACAGGATTTTGACATGCTAAAGATGCATAAACTGGTTACATGACCTGTTGTTTTAAACCATTTAGCTGCAATTTTTTTAAAAAATCATATATACTACTCAATTTGTTGTATCAGGCAGTTACCTGAATAAGGATCAACAGAGAATCCTGGGAAACAATAAATGTACAAAAAGAATGTCACTATACAAAAGAGTTACTTGACTGCATTTCCAAGATGGCTCCCAAAATGGCAGGAAATTGCTAGCTAAATAGAGACCTATCTGCAAAATAACTCAGATTATTATGGAAACAATGCATTTCATCTTTTTACAAACACAGTGACTTGAAGGATTTCCCCTGGTACTTTTAATGAGTACTTTTAATATTATTTCCAATAGCCAAACAGTTGGCTCTCTTCCTGCATCATATACCCTTAAGAAATTACCTACGTAATTACAAAATAACATAGGTAAGAAAGTACTTTTTATTCCCTGCATAACTCAGTGATTCATCCAGCAAGTCTGCTGCCCAAAAGACAAGTTCTCCACATGTACCCTTCCCATTCTTCTAAATCACTTTTCACTCCGAGAGCTTGCTTTCCTAATGTACAATACTACATAATGTTAAAAAGAGTAATTAATAGCAAGGGAACAGGTAGCTTATGAGAATTTCCTCTGAACTCTGACTGAAGAAAGGATGGCTACACAGTCTCACTGTAGGAACAGACTAAAACCTGAGTAGTTAATGGCATTTCTTTTGCTCCAAGTTCCACTTACAGTCTGCATCATGATCACTAAACTCAGCTGTAATTAGAGCCATCACACTTCGTTGGCTGTTCTAGGAAAAGAACCTGTAGCAACTGGGGGGGAAGAGGAGAGGAAGAAATAACTCTGCAATAGATTTGTATGTGTATGTGAAAACGAAAAGATTTTACATCATAATTTACTAAAATCCTTCATCTGTTCCCTACTCCTTTCTGGCTCTTTAAATTCCCTGGAAACTCACAACATTTCTTAACAGAAAACTTTAAAAAATGAGAAGGATTGGTAACTGGAAGGGTTTTGACATTTTGTTTTGTTGGGAGTTTGGGGGATTATTTTTTGTTTGTTGGATGGTTTTTAGGTTGGGGTTTTAAGGCATTAGCTCCTATGAAAATACAGACCCACTTTTATCAGACTAACAAGCACCATTAAAAGCAAATACTTGCTCTCTTCTGCATTAGTAAGAGATACTATAGCACTGTCCTCCCTTGGCAGCCTGCCTTGTAGCTGTATTAAAGGCATAACATTTCACAGATCAATGGAAAATTCAGTGTTGCAGCTATACTTATGTTAATACTCTAATTCCAGATTACAGTTCAGATTACTCTCAAAACATTGTTTTTAGTGAGACAGTCAAGTAGCCTTGACAGGACAAAGGTGCTGAGATACCACACAGAAGAGGTGTCTATCATAAGTAGGTTGCCTTGATGAAAAAACATAACAGCAATGTACAGGTCTCTTCAAGAACCTGGAATAAAAAAATCCTGATCTGCCTGTTTTAGCTGCAGCATAAAGCTAAAGGATT